CATTTTGTAAGATTTATTGTAACCATAAGAAGTTTCTAACAAGAATTAAACAAGTTAAGGAAGTGTAGGAAGAGCGTAGACTGAACGTAAGATCTACGGTAATAGTGACGCTTAACACTGGTATCTTCCTGCAACAAAGACTGAGGCCTCACGGGAAGGTGGGGGACTGTGGAAATGGCGGGATGTTGGAACTCTCTAGCTGTCTGTATTCTTCTGTTTCTTACTTCAGTACTTGCAGTTAGTAAGTAAATAATTGTATATTAGTTTCATAATATGTCAAATTTTGTAATATTTCTGATTTAACAGTGTTATTATTTCGTTTTTCGACAAAGGTTTTGGGCTCATTTGTATTTTTACCACACGATGTGTTTGTAGTAAAATAATTTATATTTTTATCTTAGAAATATAATTAGTTTTTATTTCTGAAATAATGAAGTTTAAGTTTAATAATGTTTATAAAACAGCCACTAGCAGCTGGTTCACACAGATAGGGACTATCAGCTAGTTGAAACAGATGGGGACTTGCAGCTAGTTGAAACAGATGGGGACTTGCAGTTGGTTAAAACAGATAGAGATTATCAGCTAGTTAACACATAGAGGGACTATCAGTTGGTTACTCTCTATTTTAATTACAGTATGTTATATTAGATAACTAACTCTTACGATAAGAGCCGCTAGAAAACTGTCATATCCTGTTTAATTACTGTATGTTACATTAGATAATATTACCTCTAACAATAAGGGCAGCTATAAAACTGTCAGATCCTGCTGAATTAGACTAGGTTACCATAGATAACATTACCTCTAACGATAAGAGCAGCTGTAAAACTGTCAGATCCTGCTGAATTAGTTCCTGTACAGGAGTAGTTGGCCACGTCTTCAGAAACAACGCTCTGTATTATTAACTTACTGGAAAAAGAATCTGAACTGGAGATAGTTATTCGTTCGTTGGTCAATAGTGGTTTTCCACCTTTGTTCCATGTAAAGGTAACTGGTAAATCACCTTTCTTGAGATAACAGAGGATTTGTACTCTCGAACCCAGCTCAATATCACTAGGAAACTCGTCAGGTTGTAAAATCGGTGGTTCTGTGTAAGAAAATATAACGAACTTCTGGTAAGTGATATCCAGCTCATTGCAGACGATTCTTTGATATCTAACACACAACACGAGTAAACTTTTCAATAACATGTAAATTAAAACTTTATCTTTTAGAGATGACGTCACAGATCATGATTCTACTCTAACATGAATGTGTTTGTTTGTTTGCTATTAAGGACAAAGTTAAGCAAAGAGTTATCTGTGCTTTGCCCACCACGGGTATCGAAATCCACTTTTTACTGTTAAAATCCTTTAAGGTTATATCTGAGCCACTGTGAGTATCTTACAGGATAAGTCAAAGTTTAGATATGTGACTTTCTTGGTTCAGTAACTAAACTTTATAGATTAAAATTGTTCTCATTGTGATGATAACATTTGTGAGAAACAAACTATAATTTAATCGGTGTGAACTAGCTGCTAGTCCCTATCTGTGTGAACTAGCTGCAGGATCTGACAGTTTTACAGCTGCCCTTATCGTTAGAGGTAATGTCATCTAATGTAACATACTGTAATTAAACAGGATCTGACAGTTTTATAGCTGCCCTTAACCTGTCATATCCTGTTTAATTACTGTATTTTACATTAGATAACATTACCTCTAACGATTAGGGCAGCTATAAAACTGTCAGATCCTGTTTAATTTTTTATAGCTGCCCTTATTGTTAGAGGTAATATTATCTAATGTAATATACAGTAATTAAACAGGATATGACAGTTTTATAGCTGCCCTTATCGTTAGAGGTAATGTTATCTAATATAACATACTGTAATTAAACAGGATATGACAGTTTTATAGCGGCTCTTATCGTTAGGGGTAATGTTATCTAATGTAACATACTGTAATTAAACAGGATCTGACAGTTTATAGTGGCTCTTATCGTTAGAGTTAATGTTATCTATAGTAACTTAGTCTAATTAGGCAGGATCTGACAGTTTTACAGCTGCTCTTATCGTTAGAGTTAATGTTATCTATGGTAACCTAGTCTAATTCAGCACAATCTGACAGTTTTACAGCGGCTCTTATCGTTAGAGTTAATGTTATCTAATATAACATACTGTAATTAAACAGGATCTGACAGTTTTATAGCGGCTCTTATCGTTAGAGGTAATGTTATCTATGGTAACTTAGTCTAATTAGGCAGGATCTGACAGTTTTACAGCGGCTCTTATCGTTAGAGTTAATGTTATCTAATGTAACATATAGTAATTAAACAGGATCTGACAGTTTTACAGCGGCTCTTATCGTAAGAGGTAATGTTATCTAATGTAACATTTTAGTAATTAAACAGGATCTGACAGTTTTACAGCGGCTCTTATCGTAAGAGGTAATGTTATCTAATGTAACATATAGTAATTAAACAGGATCTGACAGTTTTACAGCTGCTCATATAGTTAGAG